GTGAGTTGGTGTTTCTCAAAAACGGACTAAGAGTAGAGTGAGCTGGCGTGTAATTATAAGGCAGCATCCACAATCTGCTGCGTAAATTTACAGACCACTTTCTCGCTTTCCCTTGTGTAGTCATCCATGATGTTTCGAGTACTGGTCGACAGTTCGGCGCTGAAGTGTCGACCTACGAAGGTCAATTCCATCTTACTTGTCTGAAACTTCGTTTCCATATTCAGTAAGCACTCGTTCCATCACCTGCAGTGATGCGTTTCCAGTCAGTTCCATAGATCTTTTCTATCTGTCATTGAAAACACCGATAGACAAACGCCGTATGAACGCAGCCTCATCGCTTGAGTACCTTACCGGACTCCAGATTTTCCCTTTTTGTCCTGTCGAACTGTAAGCGCAGTGCTGAACGGTAGCTTTTACCGTCGAGTATCATGCTGATCTTGCCATTGTTCGCCCAACCACACCTTTTCCTGCAGGGATTATGCTATTTACTATAACATGATGACGCTGGGGGCTCACCGAAATTTTTCGAATTAATATGCTCTTTTTGATTTGCTTTTTGTCAGGAAATTGGCCGTGTAGGCCGAAATGGTCAACAGTCCTTCTGTCATGCATTCTTACCGTCCGGCATGGCTGACGACCCCAGAGAGGCCAATGAGATCCGTCGGCACACCTTTGCCAATCACATCGATCCAGTGATGCTGAAACGCCTGTTGCGCATAATTTTTGCCCCCTGTGGGGCGGCCTGCGCGCGACGTCGCCAACAGAGCAGTGAGGCTTCTTGTTCTGGCCATGTGGTAGCCCTGGATCCCCAGTACATCGCTGATGAGTTAGACATCAAACCGGAGAGTCTGGCAACTATCCTCTCCTACCTGCATCTGCAAACTGGCTGCGAGCGCAGCCTCACTATTCTTCCCGCCTATCCGAAGGTCGGTCTTGGTACATTTTCGCCCTCGATTTTAGCACTTTCTTACGTGTACTTGATGCGGGTGCGAGCATGCATGACCTAGGCGGCCTCGATGATGTCACAGATTGTACCTCTTCATGTGTGACTTTTCACGGCGGCAGATCTGAAAAGCAAATACCGAAGGTGCAGGAACCACTTCTATTTCCTGAATACCTGTGTTGAGTCAGGTTTTGAGTTGACTTCTTTTTCGACGCCTCTTATTGGGTAACGGTATCGGACTGATGACAGTAACAATGAGCACGCGAGATGGG